ACTCCACACACCCCACTCCCCACTCCTCACTCCTCACTCCACACTCCATCCACACTCCCCTAAGACTCCCCAGACCGCACTCCCCACTCCTCACTCCACACTCCACACTCCACACTCCCCCCCCCACTCCACACTCCATACTCCCTACTCCACACTCCCACTCCCCACACTCCACACTCCACACTCCGCACTCCGCACTCCACACTCCACACTTCCACACTCCACACTCCGCGCACCCCACTCCCCACTCCTCACTCCACACTCCACGCTCCCCACTCCCCACTCCACACTCCACACTCCGCACTCCGCGCTCCACACTCCCCACTCCACACTCCCCGCTCCCCACTCCCCACTCCTCACTCCACACTCCACACTCCACACTCCACACTCTCCCCACTCCCCTCCACACTCCACACTCCACACTCCATACTTCCTACTCCACACTCCCCACTCCACACTCCACACTCCGCGCTCCACACTCCACACTCCGCACTTCCCACGCTCCACTCCTCACTCCACACTCCCCGCTCCCTACTCCTCACTCCTCACTCCACACTCCGCACTCCACACTTCATACTCCGCACTCCGCACTCCACACTCCCCACTCCGCACTCCGCACTCCCCACTCGGCACTCCACACTCCCCACTGCACTGGAGTGGGGAGTGCGGAGTGTGGAGTGCTGAATGAAGAATGAATGAACGAATGAATGAATGAACGAATGGAATGGAATGGAATGGAATGGAATGGAAATGGAATGGAATGGAATGGAATGGAATGGAATGGAATGGAATGGAATGGAATGGAATGGAATGGAATGGAATGGAATGGAACGAATGAATGAACGAATGAATGAATGAATGACTGAATGGACAAGTACAAAACGCAGGGCGTGGACAAAAGGTTTTCTGTGGTTTGACGGAGCTGGGCCAATCTCTTGAAATTCCCAACCAAGCGCCAAACCCTTTTTTTCTTGGTCAGTGACTCTATGTAGTGTTGATGAGTGTTAAGAGTAGAAATTGGGAACTAAAGCAACGAACATGAACGAAAGGGTAGCTGTGGCTTGATGGAGTTGGTTCAAGCCATTCGAATTGAAAATCGCCAGTGCCAAAAACCAAGCGCATGCGCTCACACTTCGCTGTTGCTGTTGGTCGCCCACAGGTCCAGGCGGTCCTTTCAGCTTTGGGCCACTTTGGCATGGGGTCAAAAAAGGGTCAAGAAAATCGATTTTCCTAACCCCTATTTAGGTTTCACATGTGCCTCAGCTTTGGCTCGTGCAAAATCAGGCACAAGCTGCCATGACGCATCCTTGGTTGATGAGTTTTAAGGGTGGTATCGAGTTGTTTTCGAACAACTGGAAAGCGGCAAGCATTTCAAGTACAGGCAGAAAGCCAATGTTGGTTTCACAGAGTTGGGCCAAACTCTTGAAATCATTAAAGTCGAGCATGCCAAGTCCCTTGCCTACAATACGTTTGTACACGGGAAACGCGAGGGAAAAGCACGGATCACAACCCTGGTTCACGCGGAAAAAACAGCGCAATGTCGCACACAACCGGACATGACTGCCGGAGAGTCAACTGGATTTCGAAAGCTCAAAAACTTCAAGGTTGACAGGCATGCTGGAGCTAGGAGGCTTGCTGGTTGAAGCACGAATACGGAAATGGGGAGATCCAACACACAAGCAACAAAGTTGTATGTCCTTACGGGCTGCGCTGTTGCAGGCAAGGGGTTTAAAACATGAAGTGTCCTAAAACAATGTTCGTTGATATCGTAGTCTGAGGACACTTTCAACCTCAAAAACCATCTGACGAGTAGTACACTGAGCGTGTTTTGCTTGCCCCTTCTTGCATTCGCGGACGTTGCGCGTTGTGCGCAACACCAACAGAATAGCAGAAACACATAGCCTGCGTTCAGAATTATGTCTGCGAACAGGCTCGCGCTGGGGGGGCTGTTCTCCTAAAAGTTGATGCACGCCGTATATGAAAGTGGCTCTGGAGCAGGGCTATGGGCACCTGCTGATGCGCTTTACTAAGAAGCTGTCCGCTGTGCAGAGCACGAAGGTGTAGCCCCACTCACTCAAACCACAACAATTGTAAGCACTTTTGTTTGTCCGCATGGGGGAGAGCACTGAAACACGCTACTCCGAAATATATAGGCTTATGGAAATGTAGGAATAGAACAACTACTGTAGAAGAGCTTGAATGGTTCATGTTTTCACTTTCTGTGTGTTCTGGAAACCTTGGGTTTGCGCACAGTGCTGAAAGCTTTTACTTGCGACACAGCCAAGAAAGCTGCAATCACGGGATGAAGCGCACAGCCTTCGAAGCCAACCGCGGTTCTTTGTGGAGCTGGGAGCAACCATGTTCCCAAGTAAATCAACCGCGCACGTAAATCAAACGATTCATGGGGAGCTCAAGCGAGGCAAGACCATGTCTCAAGTAATACACATTGTTCAGAAACATGTTCCCACTACTCAATGCTAAGAAAATGTTTGGACTCAGGAAAATGCGTTCGAGGCAGCTCACGAAACATACCAGACAAAATACTGAAAAATACTGCTTTTTTTACTAGTTTTGAAATTTACATTTACTACTAAATTTATTTACTAGTAAATTTACTTTACTTGGCCTAGTAAAATGAGATTAGTAAATAGTAAATTTTAGAGTAAATCGCTGCCATACTAAATTTACTACTTTTGCAGACTCAGGGAGGATCTCCTTGTGCGTCAAGAACGCGTCAAATTTTTCCTGGACACTCATGAGGAGAGGCTCCTTCTTGGAAGCTAGGAGGCAAACGGCAGTGAAGGATCTGCTGGTTGGCTCACTGGGCGAGCACAAGCCAAGACGTGCCAAGCAGGCTGCAAGCTGAAGCGCCTTCTCCGAGCCACTGACTTCCTTTTTTCCAAGCGTGGACCATAAGTCGGCCGGGATGTACATGGGGAAGTGCACGTAGTCCTGCAAGACGCGCCGCTTATGCAAGGGAGCTGCGACTGACGCCACGCTTGCCGTGCACTGCTCCAGCAATGAGAGCGTCTCTGTCTCTGAGAACACGGCTGTCGCTTTCAAGGCCTTCATCAGCTCTGTGGCATCTTTCAAAGACAAATTTGAAGCCTTCACTGCGTAGGACAGGCGCTGAAACTGCTGCATCCTGGCCTTTGTGAAATCTTCTGGCCCTAGCGCCTGCTGCGCTTGCAGCAAGTACTCGGCAGTTTCTGCCCACAGCTCGCGGAGGCACGACATGCTGGCAGCTGCCTCTCTTCTTGGGCTTGCTCGGCTACCATAACATGAACCACATGCACATTGCTAAGACTCTAAGCTCTCAAAACCATGACGGTTCTCAAACCCTGAAAACTCTCATAAACTCTCAAGTCTTTCGATGTTCTCTCAGAACTCTCAAAACTTTTCAACTCTCAAGACATTCCAGGTTCTGACAAACTCTCAAGCCTTGAAAACTCTCATGAACTCGAACCCCCTCAGACTCTCAAAGCTCTTAAACTCTCAAGACGTTCAGTTCTTATCAAACTCTCAAACCATGAAAACTCTCACCCCCTCAAACATCTCGAAACTCTTAAACTCTCAAGACCCTGAAAACTCTCACATGAACTCTCACCCCTCAGAATTCTTAAGCTCTCAATACGTTCAAGGTTCTTATCCCACTCTCAAACCCTGAAAACTCTCATAAGCTCTCACGACGTTCCAGTTTCTTATCAAACTCTCAAACCCTGAAAACTCTCATAAACTCTCAAACCTTCAGACCACTCTTAAACTCTCAAGACGTTCCAGGTTCTCATGCATCAACTCTTAAACCATGAAAACTCTCATGAGCTCTCAAACCCTCAAAACTCTCCAAGCAAAACCCGCGTGATGAGACAAAGGATCCTTTCATTTGAGCCGTTTTTTGCACTCTCGCCAAACAACGACGTAAGCCCGCTATAGCGCCATGATGGCTCAAACTCTCAACAATTCTCTCACAAAATCGCAGCCGAGGCCAACGCTGGCTGCACCCATTTTGCACAAAACTCTCATCAGGTTGCTGCGAAAACATTGCGACATGCAAAGCACAGTATACGTGGCGATCAACGAAAACCGACCTGAAAAAACACGAAAAAGTTATAAAAAGTTAGCAAAACTTAGCAAGAGTTACACACACTTAACTTGACTTAAAAATCCACTATCGAAACTTATATCTAGATGTGAAAACTTAATAAAAACTTACCATAACTTAGAAAAAAATAGCAAGTCCAATAAACGATTATATGTCCACGCAAGTGTTGGAAATGACTATGCCCGAGTTGACCTAGTTGCCGAGCACTTGCCGAGCGCTTGCCGCCCGGTTGCCGCCTACTTGCTAACTGCTATAACTTGTCGGCAATCGCCGCGGCTGGTCTTAGTTTCCTGTTTTACCAGCAAGTAAACACTTATTGAAAGGTGGTTACTCCCCTGCAAATTAACATTGGGACCCAACAGAGGCGCCCAGCGAAAGAGCAATTGTGTGTCTTCCCTTCAAGAGGGAAAATAGCATGGGTTTCCTTTTGTTTTCCCTTCGGCAACCAAAAGGTGGTCCACTATTTTCAGAAACCCTTAAGTTGTTCACACAACTGAATTCAAAAGAATATCCAAGGGCTTCCTCCTTGGTTTTCAAATGCCCATTTGCCTGTGGTTTCTCTTTGGGAGTTACTCTTTTGTGACAAAGCAAAACCTAAATAATACCGTTGCCGCCATGTTTGCGAGTCCGAGTCCTATCCAAAAAAGAGGGTGTCCGAAATCCATTTTGAGAAGCTTCCAAAGGCACATTTGGGCGTGGTTCCTCTTTTGGAGTGCCCCTTCTTGGCAAAGCAAAGCCAAAAGGCTTTAGCCGTGAATACACTACAGAAAACAAGTTGGTACCCTTATTCTAGCCTCTCTACTAAAGAACCCAGATAAAGCGTTGCCGCCATTCTTCTGCGGGCGAGTCCAAGTCCGAAACCGAACAAACGAGCGCCGAGCCGGCTGCTATTCCGGAG